AAGCATGCCCCTGATGACTAGACCCCTAAAAACTTTAATGATGTGACAGGCCCCTGAATCTTTATTGGGTTTATCTCCCATTCTCTGGAGCACATACGTCTTACTGAAACCTGCAGTGCACTAGCCATCTCTGGCTCATCTTGCCTGATTACCCTAATGTCGTCAATGAAATGCAGGGGTGGACAAACTTTTTCTGTAGAGTCAGATAGTAAATATTTTAGGCTTTAGGTCATATGGTCTCTGGTGCAATTACTCAACTCTGATGTTGTAGGGTGAAAGCAGTCATAGACAATATGTAGATGGGCATAGCTGTGTTCCACTAAAACTTGCCTTATGGACACTGAAATTTGAATTTCATATAATATTCACATGCCACAAAATATTCTTTTTCTTTTGATCGTTTTTTTTTTTAAACCATTTAAGATGTAAAAACTGTTTTTAGCTTGTGAGCTGTACAAATACAGGTGGTGGGCTGGATTTGGCCCACAGGCCGTCGTTAGTCTGTCCCTGATGTAATGGATCAATGTGATGTTCTGTGGGATATCCATATCATCCTGATCTATTCAGACTATATTATGACAGAGATCAGGAGAATTAGCATGGCTCTGTGAGTATGAGGGCTGTGAGTATATATTATTGTCTGTTGCATGTTAATGTGAACTTCCTGATCCTTTTTCCTAATTAGTATGAATAATGCATGTAGTAGGAATCTTGTAGTAGAAAATAATGCATGCGTCCAATTGATGGTCATATTCCATGTACCTGAGGCTGTATTAATCTGCACTAGCAAGGGTGCCATCCTTGCATGGCAGCTGCAATCAGGGCTACTACTTGAGTGAGTTTGCAGTAATCGATCAATAGCCATTTTCTAGGATCCATCCAGTTTCTACAGGAGCCAGACCACTCCTGCATCCTTCAGATTCTGAAGAGTGCCACTAATCCCTGTTATATCCCTGGTCTGTGATTGTTTTTTATACACTCAGGGGTAGTTTCAGAAGTGTCCGCCTGGCCTTCTTCACTGTGGTAGCTCTACCCCATAGGCTAAGGACCTAATGTGGGAGTTTCTCAAACCCTAAGTATGTCAATCCCAATAATACTTTCAGGGACCAGAGAAATGACCACAGTGAACCCACTGTAAGTAGGACTTTGTCCAGGTCCCCATTTATTACCTGGCCCCTGTGTGCTCTCACCCTAATGGATGGGGGCCTGCTGATTCTTTGGATCTCTGGGTATCAATTCCAACTCAGACCTTGTTCTAATAGTCTTAAAAATGTGTGGGTATCCCTCTTTTCCCATTGTACAATCCCTTGATAAATTACTATGAGTTTCTCTGGGGAATGACTGGGGAACATCATTATAATTTATATTTGCCATAGTATTACAGGTCCTCCCTCCTGGAGACCCTGCCAACTCTTTAGTCAAGAGGTTTTGGGTCTGAAAACTGGCTCAGGTCCAGGACTTGGGCAAGGCATCATTAACTTTATTGGAGCAACACCCTCAGTCTCTTATTTATCCATTGCTACCTTATTTTGATAATCTGTATAAGCTGTATCCTTGTTGGCTGCCCTTCTGTTTTGCTTCTAGTGATGCCATATTCTATTGACCATCTTTAAAACTCTTTGTGGGTCAAGCCCCTTGGATGCCACTCTTTTCATGTCAGTTGTGCTGGGGATTCAATGATGAACAAGACAGATATAGTCTCTGCTCTTAGGAAACTTCTGTTCTAATTAGGACTACAGGAACAAAACCAAGTAAACAAGTAAACAAATTACATAATTACAATCTGTGATAAGGGCCCTAAAAGAAACAAGCAAGGAACAAAGATGGAGAATAATAGCTGTGGAGCCTAAAGGTAGGTTGCCAGAGAAGGTGGCCTCTTTAGAGAGGTGACATTGAAGATGAAACTGAAGGATGAGAATGAGCCATCCAAGTACAGAGTTGGACTGGGTATTAGATAATATTAAGGAATTTGTTGGTTATGGTGATGATAGGGTGGTTATGATACTATTGTAGGAAGAAAAAAAATTAATGCAACAAAAAGACTATTACTAAGATTCACAGAGAAAAAAGAGATGATATTGCATCTGTGAAACAAGAATAGGATATTATTAAAAGAAGTGTTCAGAGAAAAAGATAGGGCTCTTGGAAATTAAAAATATAATAGAAACAAAAAACAATTGAAGGATCAGAAAATAAAGGTGATGAAATCACCTAAAAGATAGAGCAAAACAAAAAATAATTTTAAAAATTAGAGGACTAGTCCAATAGATCTAGTATTTTCTTTATAAATCCAGAAGAAATGGACAGAGAAAACAGAGGAGGACATTGTCACTGAAATAATTCAAGAACATTTCTCAGAACTGAAGAACATGAGTTTCCTGATTGAAGGGGACTATAATGGATGAAAACAGACCTACCCAAAGGCACACTATTGAGAAATTTCAGAACACTGAGAACAAAGAGAAAGTCCTACACACTTCCAGAGAGAAAAAAATGGATCACATACAAATAACAAATTATATTTTAAAAAACAGATTAATACAGAATGACTTCAGACTTCTCAAAAAGCAACTGTGGAAACTACAAGACAATGGAACAATGCCCTCAAGATTCTGAAGGAAAATTATTTCCAACCTAGAACCCAAAACCTAACCAACTTACCAATTAAATTCTAATTTTTAAAGTCCTGAGAAAGCACTCTGATTGGCCAGGAGGTGAGGCATTCATAGAGATGGCATTTACCATTCAAATCACATGTGGCGGTGGTGAGGAAACAGTTTCCCAAAAGAGGGATTCAGCTCCCAGAAGAAGGAAGATGTGTATGACTTCAAACCTGAGGAGGGAGAAGGTCTGGGACAGTCTTTTGGGGGGACTTAAATATACTAAGTCAGTGCTAAACAATGAAAATATAATATGAGCCACATATGTAGTTTTAAATATTCTAATATCCCATTAAAAAAGTAAAAAGAAACAGACAAAATTAATTTTAATAATTTATTTTATTTAACCCAATATATAAAAATATCATCATTTTAACATGCAATCAGTATAAACTATGCCAATGATATATTTACATTTTTTTTTTTATTCTCAGCCTTAAGAATCCAACTGGTGTGTATTTTACACTCAGCACATTACAATTTGAACTAGCCACATTTCAAGTGCTCATTAGCCACATGTGACTAGAGGGTACCATATTGGACAGTGTAGTGCTACGCAGTCAAAAATGATGAATAAAAGGCAGCAAAATGATTGAAGTTGAAACTAGATGTTAAGAATTTGTAGCAGATCTAGTCTGCACACTTGTTTTTCTTTCTGAAGCACTGATCTTTGCTCCAGGAAGGGATTATTTAGATAGAGTTGGTAATTAATTGCTGGTCAAAGTAGGACGTGGAGGAATGAGTGCATTTTCGATGGTGATGAGAACACCATTAGCCAGGAAAGGTCTAAAGAGCTGAGTAAAATAGATGATAAGTTTTCTTAGTAAGGACAAAGGGCAGGTTCAATAAGCATAGAGAAGTGATAAAATAACAAGAAAAAAGGGTTTTGATTAGATTGGGACTGGGGAGTGGTAACTCAAATGTGGTATAACGCTTTGTAAGTCTGTCCTGCTCTTTGAACAAAGGGAGTGGAGATGGAAGTCAATGTTAGAAACAGTAAAGAACGAATGAGATAAAAGGGATCTTCTTGTTTCACCATGGATGTTGAAGTCATAAGATAATGGTTGGGGCCCAGAGAAACTAATTTTTTTATTAACGCAGTAGTGGGAGTCCCTTATGGCCATTGTGTGCCAGAGATGAGAGTGGGATCTTCCTGATGTAAGTGGTGTAGGGATTGAAGAGATCGTGCCCCCATGCCTCCTCCAAAGAAGTCTACCCCCGCCGTTAGTCTTATTTTCTGATTTTTTAAAAAATACAGCTATTGTAAAATTCACACAATACAAAAATATATAAAGTAGAAAATAGAAGTCCTCAGCAATTCCTTCTCTTTCCTTAAGTAACTACTGTTGTCTGTTTCTCATATATCCTTCCAGAATTTTTTCTATGCATATATAAGCCTGTTTTTAAAAGACAGTTTGTATTATACTCTGTATATTGTTCTACAACTGACTCCTTTTAAATATTGTTGACACCTTCCCATGCCTATATTTATATTGTTCTTTTTTATAGGATAGGCTACAAAATATGCAATTATTGTCCCATAGCTTATTTAAACCTTCAACTATTGATATGTATGTAGAATGTTACCATGTTCTTGCTAGTATAGTCAGTGCTGCAGTAATCATTCTTGTGTACTTGTGTAATCTTTCAGTAGAAAATTCCTAAAGGTGGGATTATTGGGTCAAAGAGGAAGCACATTTAAGGCTTTGATAAATCTTACCAAATTGCCTTTCAGACAGGTTGTTGTACTTCAGATTTCCACCTATGGAGTAAGAGTAGCTTGGCACCCACACTCCTGGCCCACACCTGGTATTATCAACTTCTTAAATTTTTTCTAATCTGATAGAATAATGATACTTCGTTGGATTTTCAATTTCATTCCTCTGTTTATAAGTGAAGTTGAACATATTTTCAGATGTCTATTTGCCATTTGTATTTCTTTGTAAACTACCTGTTCACATCCTTTGCCAATTTTTCTGTTTGGCATTTTGTCTTTTTGTGTGTGTCAGTTTGAAGGAGACCATTCTATTTTTATGGATAACAATATTTTATCAAATATCTTTTACCAATTTTCCCTTGACTTTCAACCTTATAATGTATTTTAGTGTATAGAAATTTTAAACTTTCAGAAAGTAAAATCTTTAAATCTTTTTTTCTGGTCTTGGTTTTCTGTGCTTCTGTATTTACTTCTAGTGTTTTTATGATTGTGATGTTTTTAATACTTAAATTTTATCCAGATGGGGTGTATTTTTGTATGTTGTGTAAAGTACCATGGTACCTTGGAATATAGAATTTAAGTACTAGAAATAACTTCAGTTTCTCTGCCTTTTTCTATCACAGGGAAGCACTTGGAGAATATTTAGATGGGAAAAAGGAGAGTGAGGAAGACCAAAGCAAGAGCTACAAACAGAAAGAAGAAAGCAGACTGGTATGAACTAGGTAGCAAATGGGTTAGTCCTGTAAGACTAGAGAGCCGAGTGTGACACCATGGCTTTTATATTTATGAGATCATGTATCCCATTTTCCTGTCTCTAGGCAGAACTGAATTCAACTCTTCCCATTTTGATAGCTCTTTAAGAGTGAGCTTTCTTATGACACTTTCTTATATTTATGCTGTCTCTTCTCTGCTCATACACTTTTTTTTCCTTATATACTTTTAATGGTTATTTATTATTCATAGGATAAAATCCACACTTTTTAGTCTGACATTCAAGGTTTTTTGTAGTCTATTCCCGTCTTAACTTTCCAGTTATATCTCCTGTTGTTGCCTAGTTTGAGTCTTCCACGTTGGCTGGGCTGATCCAGTCACTCATCTCCATGAGGGCCTTGTTCATCCCTGCTCTGTGCCTTTGATAGTACTTGTTCTCCTTATCTGGGATGCCAAGCCCCTTCTCTTCTTCTCCCCTCCTTTCATCAGGCTACCTTCCCATCCTTTAAGACCATCTTAAGTTCTGACTCCTCCTTGGATCTTCCTCTGCCCAGCCTGAATTCCTTTCATCTACGTATCTAATACTTCTTGTCTGTGCCGTTCATTTCTTCCTATATCGTTTCATCCACGTATCTAATTCTTGTCTGTCCATTCATTTCATTCCAGATTGTTTCATCCACATATCTAATACTTCTTGTCTGTGCCATTCATTTCATTCTAAACTGTTTTCTGCCTTGTATGACTTTTCAAATGTGTGTACATGCAGTCTACACAGTGAAACTGTAAGCTCTTATAGAGTGAAGACCTCATCCTATGTCTTCTCTGCATTTTTTTTGTAGCTGTGGAGTAGCACATGGCTCGTACTCAATAAACATTGAAAAGAACATCATTGAATGCTCTCCTGTGACAATGACAGGGCTTCTGGGATATTTAATGAAGTACTTAGAACAACAGGTGCAGGAGGAATAAACAGCAGTTCAAAACAGCAAGCCAGAACTGGAAAAATTCTGCATCAAATTAACTACTAAATGAAATACGTAGACAAGTGATATGAGATATGAGTGCAGGAATTGAGATATGGAAAAGAGCTCACTGGGCTGGCCTGGTTGGGAAGGTTATATGGAGAAAGTGTGACTGGAGCTGAGTCTCGGAAAAGTAGGTGGAATTTATAAAGGTGGAGAAGAGGGAGATAATTTCTAGCAGAAACTGAAGTGTACGTACTGGGAGAAAAATCCTTGAGTCACTGAAATATTATTAGAGAGCATATGAGATATAGAGATTATTGAAGAACTTGTCCTGTACTGTGTCTCGAATAAGGTAGTTTAGTGCAGAGGAGAGAATAGTGGGCTGATGTGGGTTCTTGTTCTAGCTCTGTCTTTCACTGTGAACTCGGTGATTCATGTCACCTCTTCGAACTTAGGTTTCTTCATTTAACAGGTCAGTGATGTCTGAGCATTTCTGTGTAGGAGAAAAGTGATATTAGAGTCTTAAAAATACTGATATACATTTTATCCTGAGTACTCTTTAACTGAGTGCCAACCAAAGAGATAATGTTGTTTTCATTAGCAACGTTTCATGTCTGCTTTCACTTAGGACTTTAGTCATAAAGAGCTTTGGCATTGAGGAAAAATGTGTACAAGAAAATTCTACCTTGCTACCTTCCTCACTACCATGGTACTGCTGGCCAGTACTGCCCTGAGATCTGGGCAGAGGGGCCCCTGCCCTTGGCCCTGCACTTTATTAGCTTTTTTTTAAAAAATGGTAATTCTTTTTGTGTCTCATGTCTACTCTAGGTTTATGAAGATACTTTTCTATGTTTTGTTCTAGAGACATTATTTTCCTATTGTTTACATTTAGGTTTATAATATACCTAGAATTTGTTTTTTGTGTGTACCGTGTAAGGGTGGAGCCTTGGTGGTACAGTGGTTAAAAGTGCTTGGCTGCTAACCGAAAGATCAGCGGTTTGAACCCACCAGCCACTCTGCAGGAGAAGATATGGCAGTCTGCTTCTGTAAAGATTACCATCTTGGAAACCCTACAGGGTAGTTCTACTCTGTCCTACAGGTCACTATGAGTCGGAATCAACTCGTGGGCAATGGGTTTGATTTTTGGTTTGATGTAAGGGTAGGGCTCAAGGTTTATTGTTTTCTATATAAATTTTTAATTGATCCAGCACCATTTACTGAAAAGATCATCCTTTCAAATTACATTCGCATAAACTAGATAAGCATTTATTTCTCTCCCTCACTTAACCGTTTGGAGCTGTTAGGGAGGGTGACATGGGGACTGCCTGATGTCAGGGACCTCAGCTCCATCTGCCATTCTTTAGTTGCCTTCTCTGCTCGTCATGATGTACTTTAGCACCACACTTCAGCTGGGAAGAAGGGGAAGAAGAGGGGCAGCAGAGGGTACACCTTTTCCTTTTAAAGGCACAGTTCAGAAGTGGCACACGGCACTTCTGCTCATGTGCTGTAGATTTAGATTTTATTCTAGCTGTAAGAAAGGTTTAGAAATATATCTGTTTGGGGAAGTCACATACCCAGCTAAAATCTGAGGGTTCTCTTACTAAAAGAAGAGAGGGGAGATGGATATTGGAGGACAACTTTAATTATCTGCCCCACCTCCCCAGCTGGGATTCTTCAAAAGGGCCCCGAAAGTGTCAGTCACCTTGGCGACCTCCTGGGTAAAGCGCTGTGATGTACCTATAGTACATGCCAGTGTATTGGTTGGCCAGTCCCTACCCTAAAGATACTGAAATAAAGTGCATTTAAACCTGAGAAGTGCTATTAAACTACATCACATCACAAATATTCTGATAGAAAAATCTTGCTAAATAGTGCTACTCTTAAAAGTCTTAACCAAAACCCATTGCCATCAAGTTGATTCTGACTCATGGCAACCGTTTAGGGTTTCCAAGGAGCAGCTGGTGGATTCAAACTGCCGACCTTTTGGTTAGCAGCCGTAGCTCTTAACCACTACAGCTATGAATTCCTGCTCGGTTGGATAGAAGAGCTATATACGGCTGTGCAAAAATGTTTCTAACTCTATGAATTCTTTCATAAAGTATTCTAACTTTACGAATTCTTATTTCTTTGTTTGCAGAAATTGGCTAAACTGCTGCTCTGTGGCACCGAGTTGGTGACAAATATCCAGGTGGCTACAGATATCAGAGAGATCCAACGGAGGGTGGAAGAAGAGGAGATAAAGCGTCAGAGGTAAGGAGCCCACTGCTCTGCAGCCTGGTGGGCATGAAGAGGTTTTTCTCCTCTGTGGGTCCCTACATTCTCCAGAATCGTTGCGAGTGGCTTTGTCACACTTAATTTAGTTAAATTCTCTTCTGGCCCCTTATGAGACCTCCTTTCCTTCCTTCTTCCCTCCTTCCCTTCCTCCCTCCCTCCTTCCCTCCTTTCCTCAAGTATTACATTCCTGACATGTGCAAGCTCTATGGATACAAAGAGGAGAGAAACATGGCCTCTGCTCTTGAAGCTTACGTGATAGTGAAGGGTATACGGGGGGTGGTGGTGGTGGAAAGAAAGAGACGAGGCTGTATAGGTGGACTGGGCTGTCCTGGGTTTAAGGTGATCCGAATGACCAGACCCACAAACATCTTGGTATTATGTGCCAATGTAACAGTGTATTAAAAAATATTAAAGAATTCATGCCTAGAAAGATAGAGGGTCAGAGGGATAATAGGAACCCATGTTCAACCCTCAGTTCCAGTCCTTAGCAGGCAGACTGCCTGGCACACCCATCTGCCCAGGTCTCAGATTGCCCAGTAAGGAGGTGTAAACTGCTTGTTGTTGTTGTTGTTGGGTGCCATCGAGCGATTTCTGACTCGTAGTGACCCTATGTGACAGAGTAGAACTGCCCATAGGGTTTCCTAGGCTGTCATCTTTACAGAAGCAGATCGCCAGGTCTTTCTCCCAAGGAGCTGCTGGGTGGGTTCGAATTGTCAACCTTTTGGTTAACAGTGCTTAACCATTGTACCACCAGGGCTCCTTGTAAGTGTCTTAGAAGTATTAAACTCCTTTAGCTTGCACATAGAGGTGGACTGATATCAACAGAAGCAGAGATCCTCATTTAAATTCTTACTTTGGTTTGTTCTTCAATTTCTTAAGTATAGTTCAATTAGAAGAGCAACCTGTGTGACCATTTTAGCTCTTCTCAGCCTCAGCGTATGCGTACACATACAATTTTAACAATACTTTTAGTTGTGCAGCATAAGTAGTTCTCTTTACCAGATTTACCAGTGTATAACTGGTGACTTTACTTTTGAAACTTCCCACTGCCTGTCATGGGCAGTACTGAGCACTGAACTGAGTGATTCCCAACAGGGTCAGCTTGTGAAAGGCCCTAAGGAAGTAGGGTTCATTCTATAGCAATAAGGAAAATTGCAGGTTTTAAGTGGCAGAGTTAATGTGTGTTTTGAAACAGTGACCTGATGACTGTTTCTCATTTCTTGAAATAAAAAAAAAAAAAAAATCAATTAAATTATAATATGTACTATGTGCTCTCGTGAAAAAGCCCTTGTGGTGTAGTGGTTAAGTGCTTGGCTGCTAACAGAAAAGTCAGTGGTTCAAACCCACCAGCTGCTCCATGGGAGAAAGATGTGGCAGTTTGCTTCCATAAAAATTACAACCTTGGTAACCCTATGGGGCAGTTCTACTCTGTGCTATAGGGTCGCTGTAAGTCGGAATTGACTCAACAGCAACAGGTTTATGTGCCCTAGCTTGCAAGGTGGGGTAGCGGATGGGAAATAGAAGGACAGAAGAGATGCACAAGATGTTTAAGTTGTGGCCCCTGTTTGTGGTTTTGTTTGGAGACAATCTCATAGAATTATAGTCTGTTAAAATTAGGGGGAATCTCTGGCACATGTCCTAGTCACCGTCCTCAGAAGGAGCCTCGTGTCTCAGCCCTAATGCCTTTCTTCAATCCAGTCCCATCCTTAGTATAGTCCACCATAGAGTTTCTTACGGATTTCTGGAAAGGCCATCCCTGTTTTCTATTTCTAATGGTGGATTGGAGCCCTGGTGGTGAAGTGGTTAAGAACTCAGGCTGCTAACCAAAAGGTCAGCAGTTCAAATCCACTAGCCCCTCCTTGGAAACCATATGGGGCAGTTTTACTCTGTCCTATAGGGTTGCTATGAGTTGGAACCAACTCAACAGCACACAACAAACAATGGTGGATTTTCCGTATTTGTACATTCCGCTGGTCATTTACTTATAATTTGAGAGAAGAATGGCTAGACATTTGAAGTCATGTTGCTTCACGTGAGCTAATAATGTAAGTGACACTTGCTAAGTGATTATTGTGCTGAACACCTGTGCGGTGCATTATCTCATTCAGTCCTGACAACAACCATATGAAGGTGGATACTTCTGTCCTCTCCATTTTACAGTTGAGAAAAATGGGACTTGTAGAAGATAAGCGACTTGCCTAAGGTTGAGAATCAGTAAGTAGCAAACTCAGGACTTGAACATGAGCTATATGACTCCAGCAACCAGGTGTTTAATTACTGTATGTTACCATCATACCCAGAAGTACTTGACCGATTGACTTGATCTATCACCTATCTATCTGTCTACCTACCTATCTGTCTGTCTGCCTACCTACCTATCTGTCTGTCTGTCTGTCTACCTACCTACCTACTTACCTACCTATCCGTCCATCCGTCCATCCATCCATCCAACCATCCATCTAATCTCCTTAATGTTGATCTGTTTTTGGTATGTGTTACTTTGTCTATTTGGTCTCAGTTACTTATAGTCAAGCATTAAACTAAGAGAAGATTTCTTAGTGTCTGGTCTGGTTTTGGGTGAGTGTGTCTGAAGGCAGTGCATGGGTGCCTGTGTTCTGTATTATCAATGCTAGACAACCTGCCTGCTCTATTGGAAGTTAACATCCAGAGTCCTGGCGTCTCCTGCTGTGCTGGCATGGTTGATATGTTTGTGTTTGCAGACTTGAGAAGCTGGAGAATGAAGTTAAGACCAGCCAGGACAAGTTTGACGAAATCACTGCAAAGTGGGAGGAGGGCAAACAGAAGAAAATCCCCCAGGACCTGTGGGACATGCTCAACACCCAGCAACTGCATTGTGCTGGGCTCATAGAAGATAAGAACAAGCTTATCAGCGAGTTACAGCAGGCAAGAGGCCACAGCCACTCAACCCAGCCACGTGGGATCTGGCTGGGGGATTTAACTGGGTTATTGGTTGCTTTTTCTGAATGGAAAAATGTGTAGGCCTTGCTCCATTACTCAGAATGTTGTATAACTGAAGCAATAAACTTTTAACCAGAAGAAAAAACTTTGTAGAAATTTTAGAATTATTGGCTACTTAATAGAGCTCTGGTGGCACAGTAGTTAAGAACTCAGCTGCTAACCAAAAGGTGGGCAGTTTGAATCCACCAGCCGCTCCTTGGAAACGCTTTGGGGCAGTTCTACTCTGTCCTATAGGGTCGCTGTAAGTAGGAACCGACTTGATGGCAATGGGTTTTAATAAAGATACCTTCATAGCAAATGCTGTTTCAGATGATTATGTTTTTAGCTAAGAATGGAACTTAGTCTGCAACTTAGTCCAGCTTGTGTTGGAATCTGCATGTTATTTGCTTGGCTGGGACACCTTAGGCTTTCTGGGAGCTTGCAGGGTGATTTCTAGTGTATAGTAATTGAGGAGTTTGCCCCGGTGCCGCTTGTCTGGAGCTTTGCACAGAGCTTCCCCTTCCCTCTATCCATTCCTCTCCCAGGCCTTTTCAGACTACCCTGTAAACCGTGTTGTACAGATTTCATTCCTAGTGTTTCCAGTTTCTGATGAGAAAGGCCCAGGTGGAATGTGCTTGGCACTTCCTGCTTCTGTCTTGGTTAGTGACCAGCCTTTTACATGTCATTTTCTAGGAGTTAAAAACAAAGGATGACCAGTATGTGAAGGATTTGAAGAAACAGGCAGATGACATTTGCCTCCTTCTGGAGAGGATGGAAGAGCAAGTGAAGAATGTAATGAAAACCTTTCGTCAGGAGCTCTCTCACATTGAGGTAATGGGGTGCAAGAAGACTACTTTCTACACTTGGGAGGAAGGTTGAGTCTGTCCTAACGATCTCACGAGGGTCCTAGATGTTTCAGTCTTCTGATTTTTGTCTCTGTTCTAGGGTTTCATTCATTTATTCACTCTTTCAACAAATATGCATCTAGTGTCTGCTATATCCCAGGTGCTGTTCCAGGGGCTCAGGATACAGCCATGAACAGAACAAAGTCCCTGATCCCTGGAGCCTATATTCTATAGGCTAGTAGGGGAAAGCTAGACAATAAATCACTAAATGCACAGTTTGACAGGTGGTAGTAAGTGCTTTGAAAGAAAGTAAGACAGGGTAAAGGGATGGAGAGTAGAGGAGGGAGATTAGTACTCCATAACCATATGGCATATATGAGCCATTTATTTGATTTATTTATGACGGTTGAGCATGGGAGGGGATGGGAAAGGGTTGTGTCAAATAGGGTTCAGGAATCAGTGCTTTGAATATAAATGGAATGTTAAAGATTGAGATGAAACTTGGATCTTTCCAAGATAGAAGATAGCCAGGAAGGTGAGGGAATCTCTCTCTGGATTCTTATAGCTTCCCATGGTGAGCGACATGCTGCTTTGGCTTCATGGGAACCGCAACCATGGCAATCCACCACGCCTAATCATGGTCGATTGTACATATTGGGATTTTCCCTGTGACTACCAACAAGTGACACTGGCCTTCCCCTAGCTCCCTCCCTGACTCTGATATTGACTAAGCCGCGGGGCTCTTGGAACATTTCCTCTCTAAATGTATGTGAATTATAGACTTCATAATACCTAAATTCCGTAGCCATTTGGTCACATGATACTTGGCAAGCCTGCATTTGGATTTGATCTCGTGTGGTTGGTGACACGGCACTTGCACTATTATTTAAGAGTCCTTTGGTACTGGTGAGACTTGCCTAATCAAAACTGACACTAGATCCTTATTCCTCCTTGGTTGCAGAAAGCATTTGAGGTAGAACGACAGGAGCTACTGACCAGTAATAAAAAGAAATGGGAGCGGGCACTGCAGGCTCACAATGCCAAAGAGGTAAAGTGGGTGGTAGATGGGGGTAGGGAGGTGTCAGGTAGAATCTGGGGTGATTTCTACTGTGACTGAATTTGCTCAGCCTTTTTGGCTATTGGGCAGGATTGCCAAGGCATACATTCATTACTGCACTTCCTAGTTAACCAATAGGGCCTTGCAGATGGAGGTTGTCTCCTTGGTGGTGGTGAGAACCACCTTTGCGGCTCACTGTGGTTTCTATGGTCTTGTCACTCTCTCCTTTGTTTTCTGGTTATCTACCCTAGCAATGCATATCCGTGGCCCAAGAAAGTGTTTTAAGACACATTTTTAAAAGGGTATGAGGTTTTCACTTCATTTCAGAGATGTAAAGAACAAAGAAGTGACTTGGCCAAGATCTAATGGAGGTTTTAGAGACACAAACATCTGACTGCAGAGCCGTGCATAATTTCTTAATGGAGCATTCCTCTTGGAGTTTCTAGAGTAAGGACCCTCATAAATGATATAAGCCATGGCCTGAGAGTTTGAAGTCTTAGGCAGAGGGGCTTCTGAGAGCTGTCAGACTCCTTCTGGTCATGAAACTTTCAAACCCTCCACTGTGTCATGCTTGTCAGGCCCCTGGAGGATAGAGGCAGGGACTGTATCTGACTTTCCCTTTGTCTTCTGTGCCTTCAGCTGGAGTACCTTCTAAACCGCATTAAGAAAGTAGAGGAATATGAGAAGCAGCTAAACAAGCAGAGGGTCTGGGACTGCGAAGAGTACAACATGATCAAGATCAAGCTGGAGCAGGACGTGCAGGTTTGACAGGTGTTCCTCACTCAGGCATCTGGGTGGCAGAGCAGATGTTGAGCACCTGTGAATGTGTCATCTTGAGGAGCTATCCATAATGTTCTGCAGTCGGTCCACTCAACAAATATTTATTAATTTTACTTTCTTTTAAATGTTCATATCTGAAGGAGCTCATGTACAAGATATACATGGAGGAATACTTTCCTTAATAAACCAGTGGAAAACTACCAAGGTGCTTAAGGGGTCTGGAAACCATGGAATGTGAGGAATAGTTGAAAGAACCATGCATTTTAGCCTAACAAAGGGAAATATCTCGAGGGAAAGTGTCTTAGTCATCTAGTGCTGCTCCAACAGAAATACCACAAGTGGATGGCTTTACAAAGATAAATTTATTCTCTCACAATCCAGTAGGCTACAAGTCCAAATTCAGGGCATCAGCTCCAGGGGAACGCTTTCTCCATCGGCTCTGGAGGAAAGTCCATGTCATCAGTCTTCCTTTGGTCTGGGAGCTTCTCTGCACAGGAACCTCAGGTCCAAAGGATGCACTCTGCTCCCGGCACTGCTTTCTTGGTGGTATGAGGTTCCCATGTGTCTCTGCTCGCTTCTCTCTTTTATATCTCAAAAGAGATTGCGTTAAGACACTAATCTTGTCAATGTCATCAGTATAACCTCATCAGTGATAGAATTTATAACACATGAGGAGATCACATATAATCTCATCATAGTGGTAGAGTTTACAACACACAAGGAAATCACATCAGATAACACAATCATACAATACTGGGAATCATGACCCAGTCAAGCCGCTACCCACATTTTTTGGAGGACACAAATCAATCCATGACAGAAAGTTAGCTGTGTCAGCCGGCCAAAGCTAGGACTACAGCTACTACTAATAGTTTCCATCTAATGAGCATCTGCCATGATCCAGGCACTAAGCACACAGTATCTCCAACCCTCACAATAGCATGAAAGGAAGATATCACTAACAGCATTTTATAGATCAGGAAACTGAAGCTCAGGGACAACGCTATGTATCTAGTAAGGTAGGAGACACTGGATTCAAACCCAGGGTCTGCCTGGCTCAAAAGCCTGTATCCTTCCCATTACTCCAAACAGCCCTCTGACTTATGATTGGAAACTTTTGTAAGGGAGTTTCTGACTCACTATCAGAAAGAACCTTCTAATAGTTACAGCTATCCAATAACAAAAAGGGCTGTCTCACAAAACAAAGAGTCCTTTAACTCAAAGTATTCAAAGGCTGAATGACGGTCTGTCTTCATTGTCAAAGAGGAATTTCTGCAGTGGGAAGAAGGTTAGACTTTCTGATTTCTAAAGTCCTCTCCAAGTGTGGATTCTGTGTTTCAATTCCAGTTAAAGAAAATCTTCTCTAACTGCGTTTAGATGTAATTACATCTTAATGTTCAAGCATGGTCTAGTCATTTTAGGCTCTGTCTAGAGAAATGTGTCAGATTAAAACTTTCTACGTAGCCTTTAGTAACATTTCAGTTTTTACTTCTCCCATAGCTTTATATAATTAGGTTAAATAAAAACCTCCATTAGGCTAAAATTTTACTAGTCTTGAACATTTTTCTGGGCCCTTCTCATATTAGTGTCATGGAAATGAGAGTTACCTACAAAGACCAGTAGAAGTCTGTAAAAGAGCAGTCTACTTATGTGGGCTGTATATATTATGATTTTCATGAAAACGACTATTGTTAAGCGTCCTGATTTTTTTTTTTTCTGAACTTATCTGGCTCTATGATAATTTATGTGACTACACCACATACTATTGGCTTCGAACAGTAAGATATATAGAATCTCAAGTTCTTAATCCAGTGTCCAAACACTTGAGCAAAGCCAAACAATGCTACAATGTGGGGAGACTACTGTGAAGGGGAAGAAGGAGGTAAGAGGGGAAGGGGAGGAACAGAGAGGCAGAGAGCCTGGGAGACCTGGCTGTCCTGGCTCAGCCCACCCAGATGGTCCAATGGTGGAGTGTGTGTATGGGAGAGGCAGACAGATGAAGATATTCAGAGTAGGGAAGTGTGTGCGGATCCTCTACATAAGAGTGCTTTCCTGTGTTAGAGTGGAAACGAAGAGTACACTGTACCACACTATACCCTTTGTAAAAAGGAAATCAGATCAGGGACTACCCATATTCTGACATGTGGAGTATATTAGTGAGATTGAATTGATCATAGTGCCTCTTAGGTGTACATTCACTAGACATTAAAGTCAGATAGCATTCGTTTTTGTCAAGAAGATCTGGCATACAACTAAACACCAAATTTGCCCTTTCCCACTAATTCATAGCACTGTGTTAGTTCTCAAATATGGCAAGAAAGTGGATCCAATACACATAGATTGGGTTTGACAGGTAAAGTACAAGAAGTAAAGAAGAATGTATACTTTCCAAGTGCTCACTGCCAGCAAAGGGCCCATAATTAACAACTGGTACAAAAATAAGCCTGTAACCATGCCTGTGAAAGGGATTTTGCCACTTGTGCTCCCCACCCAAAATGAGACTGATAGAAACACTTAGCTCTTTCTTTCTTTTTTTTTCAATCCACTTCCCAGCACTGTGCCTTTCCCATCTAATAGGCAATATTTCTTTCTTTTTTTAAATTTTATTGTCCTTTAGGTGAAAATTACAGTGCAAATTAGTTTCTCATTCAAAAATTTATACACAAACTGTTTTGTGATATTGGTTGCAGTCTGCACAATGTGTCAGCACTCTCCCCCTTTCCACCCTGGGTTCACTGTGTCCATTCTCCAGTTTTCCTGTCCCTTCCTGCCTTCTCATCTTTGCTTTTGGGCTGGTGTTGCCCATTTGGTCTCGTATACTTGATTGAACTAAGAAGCACATTCCTCATCTGTGTTATTGTTTGTTTTATGGGCTTGTCTAATCTTTGACTGAAAGATGGGCTTCTGAGTGGGTTCGGTTCTAAGTTAGCAAGCGTCCAGGGGCCGTAGTCTTGGGGGTTCCTCCAATCTCTGTCAGGCCAGTAAGTCTGGTCTTTTTTTGTGAATTTGAATTTTGTTCTGTATTTTTCTCCTGCTCTGACTGGGACCCTCTATTGTGATCTGTGTCAGAGCCATTGGTGGGGGTAGCTGGCCACCATCTAGTTCTTCTGGCCTCAGGCTGGTAGAGGCTGTGGTTCATGTCGTCCATTAGTCCTTTGGACTAATATTTCCCTTGTATTTTTGGTTTTCTTCATTCTCCTTTGCTTCAGACAGGATGGGCCCAATAGGTATGTCTTAAACGGCCTCTCACAAGCTTTTAAGACCCCAGATGCTACTCACCAAAGTAGGATGTAGAACATTTTCTTTACAAACTATGTTATGCCATTTGACCTAGATGTCCCCCGAGACCATGGTCTCTAGCCCTCAGCCCCAGTAACTTGGTCCCTCAAGGTGTTTGAATGTGTCTAGGAAGCTTCTATGACTTTGCCTTGGTCAAGTTGTGCTGGCTTCCCCTATACTGTGTGTTGTCTTTCCCTTCATCAAAGTTAACACTTGTCTACTATCTAGTTAGTGATTTCCCCTCCCCAGTCTTCCTCTCCCTAGTAATCATCAAAGATTTTTTTTTCTGTGTGTAAACCTTTTGTTGAGTTTTTATAATAGTGATCTCATACAATATTTGATTGTGATTGACTTATTTCACTCAGCATAATGCCATCCAGATTCATCCATGTTGTGAGATGTTTTGAGGATTCAACATTGTTCTTATTGTTGCGTAGTATTCCATTGTGTGTATGTACCATAATTTGTTTATCCATTCGTCTGTTGATGGGCACTTAGGTTGTTTCTATCTTCTTGCTATTGTGAATAATACTGTAGTGAACTTGAGTGCGCATATGTCTATTCATGTGATGGCTTTTATTTCTCTAGGCTATATTCCTAGGAGTGAAATTACTGGATCATATGGTATTTCTATTTCTAGCTTCTTAAGGAGAAGAATTTGTGTTTTCTATAGTGGTTGTACCATTTTACATTCCCACTAGTAGGGCACAAGAGTGCCAATCTCCCTGAAACCTCTGTAACATTTGTTATTTTCTATTTTTTTTTATTAGTGCCAGTAATGTCCGGGTAAGATGGTATCTCATTGTAGTTTTGATTTGCATTTCTCTAATGACTAATGATCATGAGCATTTCATCATGTGTCTGTTAGCTGCCTGAATGTCTTCTTTGGTGAAGTGTCCATTCATATCCTTTGCCCATTTTTTTATTTTTATTTTTTCCCATACAAAAATTTATACATACACTGTTATGTGACTCTAATTGCTCTCCCTATACTGGGACAGCACACTTCTCCTTTCCACCCCTGATTCCCCATGTCCTTTCAGCCAGCTCCTAACCCTCTCTGCCTTCCCATCTCACCTCTGGACAGAAGCTGCCCGTTTAGTCTCTTGTATTTACTTGAGCTAAGAGGCACACTCTTCACGGGTATCACTTTATGTCCTACAGTCCAATCCAATCTCTCTCTGAAGAGTTGGCCTCATAAATTATTTTACTTCTGTCCTTTGCCCATTTTTAAATCAGATTATTTGTCTTTTTGTTGTTGACGTGTTGAAGTGTTTTATAGATTTTAGAGATTAGACGTTTGTCAGATATGTCGTAGCCAAAAATTTTTTTTCCCAGTCTGTAGGTTCTCTTTTTACTCTTTTGATAAAGTCTTTTATTTATTTATTTATTTATTTATTTTAAAATTGTACTTCGGGTGAAGGTTTACAGAACAAATAGTTTCTCATTAAACATTAGTACGCATATTGTTTTATGACATTGGTTAACAACTCCATGACATGTCAACCCTCTCCCTTCTCAACCTTTTTTTTTTTTTTTTTGGTGAAAATATACATAGCCAAACATACACCATTTCAAAAATTTCTGCATGCACAGTTCAGTGACGTCGACTACACTCTTCCAATTGTGCTGCTATTCTCACTTTAGATGAAGGTTTACAGACAAAATAGTTTCTCGTTAAACAGTTAGTACACATGTTGCCC